CATGTTATGTAGGCTATAAACACCTAAATGTGGAATCTCCTAATATTATCTGGAGCTTCTTTCCCTGAGACACGTGCACACCTGAACCCATTGACTGATTGTTTTTTCACGGTGTGCATTAGCTGTGTTCCCATGGTAACATTCATCCTATTTATATTTGCAGGCCTATTCATGATAAAGACTCTCAACCCAAAGTGATACGGGTGATTTTCTGGGATACTGGATTGCATTGATTACATGCTAATAGCATGTTAATAAGCAAACATTCAGTGTCCTTTACTTTACTTTAACTTTTCATAATACATGCTAGCATTCCTATGAGATTACAGATAGTCTTGCATAGCCAGACCTCCATATCTCCACACTGTGTCAGCTCTGGAGAAAGGTCTAGCTGAATCCATTATCATTCTGGTATAAAAACAAAAAACAATCACAGTCGTCTAAACCCAGGATTAAGTGACAGTATTATTGCAAAACAGTGTCTGGACAGAAATCTATAAATCGAATGCTCTGAAAAAACTGCCAAAAATCTGGTATCTGTAGCAGTCACAGTTATCAGTCATTTCATTCGGACCAAATGCTAGTTTCTCTGTTAACTACCTTCCATTTAACTGTCATCGTAACAGTGACAAGATTTAAGTCAGTGTTGAGTGGATTTTTTGTATATATATGTAGTGTAGTGTATATATAAAAACATGAGTGTTGTGCATGCATTTGATTAAGATGAAGTGTGGAAAAAAGGATGTATTGCCCGGGTGTGTGTCCACCGCCGCCAGCAGCAAGATCTTTGTTATTGACCCATTAATTATTAGTCCATCATCTTATATGGTGCAACACATTCTGCCTACGCAATTTACCATCCACTTTCCAATTGTTGTCGAGTGTGTGATTTATCATCTCAGTGTCTCATCAATACCACTTACCTGCCACTGGTCCCTCACTCGCCCAGGAAGGAAATGGATTACAGAAAGTGAGGGAGAGAGAAGGAATTGGGCAAGGGTGTAAATGTACAGAGATAAATTTAGTCAAACACACACAGCTGTATGTTGCGCACATTGAGGGGGGCCTTGAGGATCAGCATTTATGATTTCCATTAAAGGTGAAAGATAGATTATTAGTGAACAGGTGAAGGCCTCTCACTCTTTCCCTTCATCTCTCCCACACTCTTGCAACTTCCTCAATGATACAGTTCATTCATTCCCTCTGTATATCTCAAAGATTTTTTCCCATCTCCTCTTATCGCTCCCTCCTCCTGCCTGGCCCACTCCTTGTGATTTATACTGAGTCCTGGATAGTTGATCTTTATTCAGCGGGCTTCCAGGCAAGGCTGATAACACCAAGGTCCCTCATCAATTCTGTCCAGCGGCCCTGCCCTGCATTGCCCCCAGCTGCATCCTTACTCTCTCTCGAAACTCAACCCCTTACGGTTCACTTTCTGTTTGTGTTAGTTTTGTTTGTGCAGTGAATTGTCAAGCAGCCCTGCAGGCGTATGTGGTTCAATTACTGAAGAAATAGCTGCAGTTCACAAGTAAAGGCATTCTCTACGACTGCTGAGTGGCTCGAATAGAAGAACAGCACTATCAAAATAACTGTCCCAATGTTTCTTGTGTAGTCTGCCACAGAAGAAAGCAAGTAAATATCCCAAAAGGAGGGCTGAATTTTCTGTTTCCTTAGACAAAACACTTTTGGATTTAGGGGATTGGCCTCAGCCATTAGATTGGTGGAATTTGATGTCTGGCTCCTGTGAAATGGTGAAACATCTGGTATTTCATCTTTACTAGGCATGTACTTTTTTCAGTAGTCAGAACAGTTTAACTTCCCGGAGTTTAGAGTCATAAATATTAATTGCAGAAGTCAGATTAGTGCTGAGGGAGAGGTCCAAAACCCACAGGGGCTTTTTCATTGCTTCTAACTAAACAACATAAAACAGTTTGAACTAATTAGGGGTCCCACACATCCTGGAAAACTCTAAATCTCAGATTTAAAGACTAGTTTTCCAGTCATGGAAACACCTGGTAATTGATTAAAATGACAATCAGTGTTGTCCTTAGCCCTTCACTCAGTGGCTACATTAATGCTACAATCAGATGAAAACTGTAGTCAGTTCACAGGAGAGTACGCAGCAGAAAAAGCATGTCCTATAACCGCTGACCACCTACCTGTAATGAACCTGACACACTTCATCATCATGAAACCTGCATTAGTAAACAAGGAGCGAGTGCTGTCCTGTATTGTCAAGAAAAACATCTGGAAAATGTCCTGGAAAAAAGATGTCTTTAATAGATTTTCATAATTTAGCAACACTTACTGTTAATGAAAACTATTTTAGAAAACTATAATATATTGAACATTAATTCTTCAAAAATTGAAATCTGCACAGTAAATCTGCTCAGTGAGTCTTAGTAGTCTTACCAACTTGCACTGTACTGTCCAGTACACTACAATAGACATCTAATGAACAGAATATTTAAAGCAAAGTTATTCAAATAATTGTGGCTACTGTGGTTTATATCTTCAGGTAAGATCTTTCATTTGTTTAATTGGTTTTTACCAAAGTACACAAAGCTTTTGAGAGTACCGTGTCATCACAGATGTGATATGTTAGACATGAGGTATAAAGCTGCACAGCAGGGGTTGATAACAAATAGCTAATTTGAACAACGGGCTTATGCAGGTTTACATTTACAGTACAGAGCTGTTTGTTGTTGCTGTGTTTGGTAATTATACTGTTACCAGAAAAAGAGAAGGGAGAATGGTTGATTTCATTTTTACCATTTTCTTTCTCAAACATAGATACAAACACATAAATACACACTCACACGGATACTCTTGTTTTTCCTTCATGAGATACCTGGGTGAGGATCAGACAGCATTCCTGGCCAACGGATCAGAGAATTACGGTAGTACAGCTGCTGCCTTGGCTCTGTTACAGCACACTGACACACAGGTGGTGTTTGTGTTTGTGCAGGCATTAGTGTGTATAGAGACTAAAACTTGGTAGGAAATGTTGAAGTGAGTAAAACATTTTTAAATTCAGCATGTTTGCACCAAAGAGATGTGGTACCAGAATGTAACTAACAATCCCAAACAAAACATTGTTCTCGTGACTTTGGCAATGTGGTTCGAAAACAAACTGCAGTGCTGCCTGATTTATGAGCAAACACCATATTACTATTATGTAGGGCATCTTTGCACAGCCTTAAGAATGCCTATAATTCACCTAAGCAGTACATTTTGCAAAAAGCTTCTTAAAAACTCCTTTTCCCAATGCTAAATTGGCATTGTAAACTAGCAGTGAGAATGTAAGCGTTCTCTGTAAGGGTATACTGTATATTATTGGGTTTACCTCCTCGTCTCTGAGAGGCTGATTCAATGTTGATGCTTATTGAAATACTGACAAATGAAATGCATAAAACTTCTGGAGAATCTAAATCTGTTGCTACCTCTGCAGTATGTTTGTGCAACTCGAGGGCTCCACCAATAAGAAGGATTTATTAACACAAAGGTCAGTGTGGGTTTAATTGTCTTGGCCCATGGTGGTAGCTTGACAGTGAAATGCAATAAACAATGAACTGCACAACAATTTGACCCATTTCATTATTTAGGGACTAACACATAGAAGTCCTAATACTTTTCAATCTATGCTACAAAAACTAATGGTTAATCTGATTGCTAATGCAGGTCTTGTATTGGAGGGTACTTGTTTGGAGCCTGCTGCAGATTCCTTCAGTTCATACAAAATGGACATTAAAGATGCACTCCTTTCCTGGCTCCTTCACACCTTTCTGCTCTCAGCCCAACTCGTCAATAGTTTGTCTCTGCCATAGGGAGCTGTTGTTCTCTGTGTTTCTACCTCTTCATCACTTGTAACCACAGCACAAAATTGTCACTATTGGTCAAAAAACACTCAGCATCCGGCCTGCTGTTTTGATTGATTTTTGTGGCCAAGGCCAGATTTTTCACTTCCTACTCCATTTCTCTCACCCACTGAATGGCAAATTACATGTGACCAAGTTTTAGAGGTGATAATGAGCAGTTGTTGCTGTCTATGAAGCCTTTTTGTCAATCATACACTCCAGACTATCAAGATACTACTTTATTTTTTGTAAGTACAGGTAGCTCTTTTGTTTCAATTCTTTGATTATTTTGGTCAAATAAAAGCTTTAGTTGACCTGATTCGATGATTTTTCTTTGCAAATTCTTGCATTTCATCTGCTAATCTGCCAACCTTTTACC